TTGTACGAGTACAGGATGTGGTCTCCTTTACTCATGCAGGTCCCTACACTTTGATGAATGGAGTCAGTTGGTTATTTATGAATATTTCATAGATCATATAGCTCCAAACACCTATTAGCAAAAAAAAAATGAACGGTTTCCTCCTATAATGCCCTATGTTGTACCATTATTTCATCTTAGTAAAAAGACATTAGGTGCCTGATTACATTTTATTATACAGGCATACTTTGTTTTATTGCACTTTGCTTTATTGTGGTTCACAGGTGTTGTGGTTTTGTTTGTTTGTTTGTTTGTTTTTAACAAATTGAAGGCAAGACCCTCCACCAGCAAAAAAGATGATGACTCACTTTATTGCACTATTCACTTTATTATGGTGACAAGGAACCAAACTTGCAGTATCTCCAAGATATGCCTGTGGTGTGATAAAATTTCAAAACATAAATAGATGCAGCTGAGCTGCTCTCACTGTCTTTCAATTTGATTCATGTTGAAAACTCTTTCCCAATTTTGCCGTCCCAAGTGTCACCCTAGATAGTGTTTGCCTTCTCGGTCTATTGGCTCCTGTCTTCAGACTTTGACGTTCTCCCTTGTACCCACTTCCTTGATGTTCTTCAACTGGGCCCTAATCTTTGCTCCTGATGCTGGAATTCCCCTCCTCCACCTCTCTGGTTCCTGTTCCTGCTTTCCTTTTCCAAATGCCATGCTGATATCACCTTTCCAGCTTTGTATAGCTTACCTTATTCTTAGAACTACTCATTTACAGCTTTTAAGTGGTTTCTTTTTGGCAATTTTAAACTCTTAAAGATATCAAAAATATTTACACCTTGGCTTTTAAAACATTATACAAATAAGTTGATAATACCCTGTAGATACCTTCACAAATCTAAGTGAGATTCCTAATACTCAAAGGGCAATAGTGCCTTTCCAATTACTCTAAATGACCTCTGCCAATAAAGTGATGTGAGGCCTTCTGGGTTCTGTAGCTTCTTATATAGCATCTTTCTCTTGGGTTTCAATTCTACTAAATCCTTATTTGTCACATTGTCTACTGTAAGAATCTATTGAGCCAAGGAAGCCCCTTTCCTCAGCGAGTGTCCTAGAGCAGTGCTGCTCACATGTTATATGGATATATATCTCCTGGGGATCTTCTTAAAATCCAGCCTTTGATTCCGTAGGTCTGGGTGGAGCCTGAGATTGTGCATTTGCAACAAGCTCCCAGGTGATGCTGCTGCTGCTGGTCCAGCGAAGCACTACCATACGGGGCTTCTTAGTACCTTTGGTGTTTGCCCCAAATGGTTTATCACCAATGCTTTCTGTGTGCTTGCTAATATATTCTCAATCAATTGCTGAATTAAAATTAGGGCAATAGCCTCTAATATTGATGTTGGTGCTCTGTACTTTAACACTTTTTTTTTCATTTTGCCAATCAATCTTTCTAGTTTCTGGCTGATTACTGTACTTAAATCAATACAACGTGTCACATGCTTCAACTCTTGGTCCTTGATCATTCCTACAGAACAATTCATGTGCAACAGTAGTCATTTTCTATTTTCATTTTTTTAAATTTGCTTTTTAAAATAATGGATTGTCCTCTTTTAGCACTTTTATAACTTCCACTGTTTTGGTATTTATCAGACATGATGGGATTAAGAATGTTCATAAAACACCTCAAAATGAAGCTCTATGCCAAAGACTAATAAACAATGAAAGGTCAGTACAAAAATGATTGCGCACAATAAGTAAAGCTATTTTTTAGTGACAGGCAGTCTTTTTGCTCTGATTTGGTGCTTGGTTGGAACCTATGAAATTTAGTAAATTGGAAGCTTATGAGTGGAGTTTATTTAATTGAATAAAATAAAAAAAGATTTCTTATTTTCCAGTACCCGAGGCATCTGTCTCTATAGATTTGATCATTTGATCACTTACTCTGTACCAGGTTGCTTCTGGGAGGTGGAGAAAGGCTCAATAAACATCACCCCTCTCTTTATTTATCTAAACAATTGAGAAATAAGGGAATAGCATCAGCATGAAATGGCTAAAACATCACTTTCATTTCTGGTAAGGGTGACGAAGCACTTGGCTGTATTCATGGGCAAACAAAACAACTATTACTGAAACTTAGGTTAAGATTTACCCACCAGCTCACTGAAAGCACTGGGTCACCCCAGTCCTCCCCCGAACAGCCTGTCCTGATAGAGCAGAATGAGTGTTCTTTGAAGTTTGCACCCAAGGAAAAGAAGAGAGTGTGAGTCCAGGTTCCTTATTCCCTAGCTCACTAATCAGCAGTCATTTCTTCTCCACCAGGAAAGGCCCAGAGTGTTAGACTAGTAGAGGGGTCTCTTCCACACGGAAGAAAACATCAAGAGTGGAAAAGAGGTGTTCTCCCTAACCATAAGCTGAGTACTGCATCTTATTTAATTCTAGAACAAAACAATCAGCATTTATTAAGTTTCTACTATGTACCATTCACTGTTTTAGGTGCTGGGGACACAGAACTAAATTAGTTAAATCTTGACAGAGTACAGTTTACATTAGGGCCTGTAATTGTGTAGCCCACGTCCCTCACCTTATTCAATTCCAGCCATATCAAATTCTGTCTTTATTTAAAATTTTGATATTTTGTTCACCACAGATTTTTTCCCCCACTAATTTCAAAAATTTTAAGTATTGCATTAAAATATTCATCTTGGGCCAGCCGAGTGGCATGATGGTTAAGAACTGGCTTGGGACGCCAGAGGGCCCCGGTTCAGATCCCACATATGAGGGCCAGTGACACTGCCCTCT